CCCCCCCCCCCCCCCCCCCCCTCGTCGTCATCCCAACCTCCTCGCCCATATCTCCTTAGGTCGCTCTCAGCCAATCAGGTGACGGGCGCCATTCCTGCTGCCATTTCAACCCTCAGGCAACTGAGAACCCTGTGAGAGAGGGATGGGAGGAGAAAGGGATGGAGGAGAGAGGGATGGGAGGAGAGAGGGATGGGAGGAGAGAGGGATGGGAGGAGAGAGGGATGGAGAAGAGAAGGATGGGATGGCTTATTGCTCTCTCTCGCTTGTACTAAAGAGCCTCTTGGCTCTTAATTCAACCATCAGTTTTTCTCTTTAACACTTCACTTCCACTTCCTCCCTTCCTGTGGTGCCGCTGGTATGCCACGGCAGCAATATGCAGCGCAACAAGCTCACAGGCGCCATCCCCTCGCAGACCCAGCACTCTCACCCGCCTGCAACGCCTGTACGTCCCACTCACCTCACCTCACCTCACCTCACCTCACCTCCTCTGCAACCCTCTGTCCGTGCCTTGATGCCATGCCATGCCATACCATGCCATGCCATGCCATGCCATGCCACTCCAGCAACAAGCTAGCGTACTCCATCCCCCACGGCTAAGCACTCTTTCACGCTTGCAACGCCTGTAGGCTGTACGTCCTACTCACCTCCCCACCTCTGTAACCCTCCTCTGTAACCCTCCTCTGTAACCCTCCTCTGTAACCCTCCTCTGTAACCCTCCTCTGTAACCCTCCTCTGTAACCCTCCTCTGTAACCCTCCTCTGTAACCCTCCTCTGTAACCCTCCTCTGTAACCCTCCTCTGTAACCCTCCTCTGTAACCCTCCTCTGTAACCCTCCTCTGTAACCCTCCTCTGTAACCTCCTCTGTAACCCTCCTCTGTAACCCTCCTCTGTAACCCTCCTCTGTAACCCTCCTCTGTAACCCTCCTCTGTAACCCTCCTCTGTAACCCTCCTCTGTAACCCTCCTCTGTAACCTCCTCTGTAACCCTCCTCTGTAACCCTCCTCTGTAACCCTCCTCTGTAACCCTCCTCTGTAACCCTCCTCTGTAACCCTCCTCTGTAACCCTCCTCTGTAACCCTCCTCTGTAACCCTCCTCTGTAACCCTCCTCTGTAACCCTCCTCTGTAACCCTCCTCTGTAACCCTCCTCTGTAACCCTCCTCTGTAACCCTCCTCTGTAACCCTCCTCTGTAACCCTCCTCTGTAACCCTCCTCTGTAACCCTCCTCTGTAACCCTCCTCTGTAACCCTCCTCTGTAACCCTCCTCTGTAACCCTCCTCTGTAACCCTCCTCTGTAACCCTCCTCTGTACCCTCCTCTGTAACCCTCCTCTGTAACCCTCCTCTGTAACCCTCCTCTGTAACCCTCCTCTGTAACCCTCCTCTGTAACCCTCCTCTGTAACCCTCCTCTGTAACCCTCCTCTGTAACCCTCCTCTGTAACCCTCCTCTGTAACCCTCCTCTGTAACCCTCCTCTGTAACCCTCCTCTGTAACCCTCCTCTGTAACCCTCCTCTGTAACCCTCCTCTGTAACCCTCCTCTGTAACCCTCCTCTGTAACCCTCCTCTGTAACCCTCCTCTGTAACCCTCCTCTGTAACCCTCCTCTGTAACCCTCCTCTGTAACCCTCCTCTGTAACCCTCCTCTGTAACCCTCCTCTGTAACCCTCCTCTGTAACCCTCCTCTGAAACCCTCCTCTGAAAACCCTCCTCTGTAACCCTCCTCTGTAACCCTCCTCTGTAACCCTCCTCTGAAACCCTCCTCTGTAACCCTCCTCTGTAACCCTCCTCTGTAACCCTCCTCTGTAACCCTCCTCTGTAACCCTCCTCTGTAACCTTCCTCTGTAACCCTCCTCTGTAACCCTCCTCTGTAACCCTCCTCTGTAACCCTCCTCTGCAATCAAGTCCCTCCAAAAGCATAACTTCCTCACCTCCCACTGCCCCACTGCCCCACTGCCCCTGTCACTGCCCCACTGCCCCTGTCACTGCCCCACTGCCCCCCCGTTCACTGCCCCCTGCCCCCGTCACGTCACTGCCCCCGTCACTGCCCCCGTCTCTCTGCCCCTGTCTCTGCCCCCGTCTTGCCCCCGTCACTGCCCCCCCCGTCACTGCCCCCCCGTCACTGCCCCCCCGTCACTGGCCCCGTCACTGCCCCCGTCACTGCCCCCGTCACTGCCCCCGTCACTGCCCCCGTCACTGCCCCCCCGTCACTGCCCCCGTCACTGCCCCCCGTCACTGCCCCCGTCACTGCCCCCGTCACTGCCCCCCAGCCCCCGTCACTGGCCCCGTCACTGCCCCCGTCACTGCCCCCGTCACTGCCTCCCCCCGTCACTGCCCCCGTCTCTGCCCCCGTCACTGCCCCCGTCACTGCCCCCGTCACTGCCCCCGTCACTGCCCCCGTCTCTGCCCCCGTCACTGCCCCCGTCACTGCCCCCCGTCACTGCCCCGTCTCTGCCCCCGTCTCTGCCCCCGTCACTGCCCCCGTCACTGCCCCGTCACTGCCCCCGTCACTGCCCCCGTCACTGCCCCCGTCACTGCCCCCGTCACTGCCCCCGTCACTGCCCCCGTCACTGCCCCCGTCTCTGCCCCCGTCACTGCCCCCGTCACTGCCCCCGTCACTGCCCCCGTCTCTGCCCCCGTCTCTGCCCCCGTCACTGCCCCCGTCACTGCCCCCGTCACTGCCCCCGTCACTGCCCCCGTCACTGCCCCCGTCACTGCCCCCGTCACTTCACCCCCCGTCACTGCCCCCGTCACTGCCCCCGTCACTGCCCCCGTCACTGCCCCCTCACTGCCCCCGTCACTGCCCCCGTCTCTGCCCCCGTCACTGCCCCCCGTCACTGCCCCGTCACTGCCCCCGTCTCTGCCCCCGTCACTGCCCCCGTCACTGCCCCCGTCACTGCCCCCGTCACTGCCCCCGTCACTGCCCTGCCCCCGTCACTGCCCCCGTCACTGCCCCCGTCACTGCCCCCGTCACTGCCCCCGTCACTGCCCCCGTCTCTGCCCCCGTCACTTCCCCCGTCACTGCCCCCGTCACTGCCCGCCCCCGTCACTGCCCCCGTCACTGCCCCGTCTCTGCCCCCGTCACTGCCCCCGTCTCTGCCCCCACACAGGTCAGTCGCAACACCCCTCTCAGGCTCCATCTCTGCAGCCATCACGTCGACCTAGAAACATAACTCCCTCCCCGCCCACTGCCCCACTGCCCACCCTTGACTCACTTGCCCACCACTACCCCAACCCCATACCCCACTACCCCACTGCCCCACTACCCCACAGGTACCTCAGTCGCAACACCCTCTCAGGCTCCATCCCTGCAGCCATCAAATCCCTCACCTCCCTGCGAATGCTGTAAGCCCAATCCCTCAGCAACGCTACTTGAGCAAACTAGCAACGCCACTTCAGCAAACTAGAAACTCGAATTGTGTTTCTAAGGATCTGCAGAATTACCTTCCGACCCCTCATCTCCCCCTTCCCCTTTCAATCACCCCCCATCCTCATGAATTCCCTCCCCCACCGCACTTCCACCATCTCCCCGTCCCCCACAACCTCCCCCCAGACTCATAGACCACAACAGTATCCCCTTTCCCTACATCCCTCCGTTTTCCCCCATCCCCTCTCCTCTTCTCTCCTCCCCCCAGACTCATGGACCACAACAGTATCCCCGGCTCGCTCCCTGCCTCCATAGCGTCCATCCTCTCCCCTTCCACACCCCCCCACCCCCCAACACCTAGAAAAAGAAGATATGCATCTTTTCACAACCCCACCCCCCAACGTCACACCTTTCCCCCATCCCCCTTCTAATCCCCCTTTCCCCCATCCCCCTTCTAATCCCCCTTTCCCCCATCCCCCTTCTAATCCCCCTTTCCCATCCCCCTTCTGATCCCCCTTTCCCCCATCCCCCTTCTAATCCCCTTTCCCCCGTCCCCTTCCTAATCCCCTTTCCCCATCCCCCTTCTAATCCCCTTTCCCCTCCCCCTTCCTCCCCCATCCCCCTTCTAATCCCCCTTTCCCCCATCCCCCAACTAATCCCCCTTTCCCCCCCCCCCAGCCTCATAGACCACAACGGCATCACCAGCTCTCTCCCTGCCTCCATAGGCGCCCTGCCCTCCCCTTTCCCTACATCCCTCCGTTTCCCCCAATCCCCTCTCCTCTTCTCCCTTCCCCCCCCAGTCTCATAGACTACAACGGCATCACCGGCTCTCTCCCTGCTTCCATAGGGGCCCTGCCCTCTCTCGTCTACCTGTACGTAAGATCATCCACCCATGGCCCCATGCCCCCCATGCCCCGCCCCCTCATGGCGCCCTCATTCATGCCCCCCCGGCCCCCATCCATGCCCCCCTTTCGCCCCCATCCATGCCCCCCTTTCTCCCCCATCCATGCCCCCCTTTCTCCCCCATCCATGCCCCCCTTTCTCCCTCATCTATATTCCTCCTGCCCTGCCCTCTCTCGTCTACCTGTACGTACGATCACCCACGCATGGACTCATGCCCCCCTGTCTCCCTCATTGGTATTCCCCTGCCCTCCTCTCCCTCGTCTAGCAGTATGCTTATGAGCTACTTATGCGTTGCCTTTGCACCTCCCTTCACTCCCTTGTCCTCCCTTCCCCTGCCTGCCCTCCTCTCCTTCATCTAGCAGTATGCTCATGAGCTACTTATGCGTTGCCGTTGCACATCCTTCCTTTTGCGTTGCCTTAGCACCTCCCTTCACTCCCTTGTCCGCGTTGCTTCGTGAACCTTCCTTACCTCTCCTCTCACACCCTCCCTCCCATTCCCTCCCTCCCATTCCCTCCCTCCCATTCCCTCCCATTCCCTCCCTCCCATTCCCTCCCTCCCATTCCCTCCCATTCCCTCCCTCCCATTCCCTCCCTCCCATTCCCTCCCTCCCATTATCACCACCACCACCACCACCACCACCACCACCACCACCACCACCACCACCACCACCACCACCACCACCACCACCACCATCAGGAGTGGCAGCAAGAACAAGCTTACTGGTGCCATCCCTTCTGCCATTGGGGCGCTTTCAAGACTCACATACTTGTTAGTGTCACAAATCTTATTGTTAAAGTGTCACATACCTGTTAGTGTCACATACTTGGTGTCACATAAATGTAACTGTTACATGCCTGTTAGTGTCACATACCTGTCAGTGTCACATACCTGTCAGTGTCACATACCTGTCAGTGTCATATACCTGTCGGTGTCACACACATACCTAATTGTGTCACATAACTGGTGTTTTTACACACCTGTCAATATCTCATACCTTCCCATTCTTCCCCTCCATCTGATACGAGTTGGTTTTTGAGAATTCTCAAAAACCAACTTACACACCTGTCAATATCTCATAACTTCCCATTCTTCCCCTCTCTCTGTGCTACTTCTACCCTTACCCTCCCTCCCTTCCCTTCGCTCCACCACCATTATCCCATAGCCTTCAAAACACACCAACAAATCCCCTCAAACCCTTTCCTCCCTCCTCCTTCGTCTGTACCTCCTTCCTCACTCCCTCCCTTTTTCACCCCTCCCTCTCCCTTTCCTCCCTCCCCTTTCTCACTTTCCTCACCCTCTCTACCAACTCCCCCTTTTACTCCATTCCTCAATCCCTTCCACTCTCCTCCACTCTCCTCCACTCCTCTGCACCGCACCGCACCACAGGGCACTCGACCGCAATTCTCTCACAGGCGCATTCCCTTCGGCGCTTTCCAAACTCAGCTATCTTCAAACCATGTGCGTCCGTGCCTGCATGCCTGCATGGCTGTGCGTGCATGACTTTTGAGGCGCCTTTTGAGGCCTTTTGAGGCGCCTCAAAAGGCTGTGCGTGCATGCTGTTTCGAGTTGCATGTAGGATTTTCTTTCGAGCAGTCCCTATCTTCAACCATCTGTCTCTGCTCTCCCACGAATCGCATCTCTCACTTCTTCTCTTTCCCATGCACTCCTGTCACGGCTGCGGAGATAACTACTACAACGGGAGCTAGACTACGGGCTAGGCACGGATGCTCGTGTGATCTCTGCGTTCGTTGGTCCTTAGTCGTTTTCCTAGTGTACACACTGCTTGCTAGTTCACAAGGTAATTTGGCAAGAGTTTTACTAGAGAAAGTTGACAACAATGATACAATGAAGTTGGCAAGGCAAGACTACATCAGAGCTAGCATGCAAGCAGGACGACTGCCAGCGCAGCACGGTCGACCGCGTGCCAGCACGACCTGGTCGACCGCGCCCCAGCAGTGCAGAGTCGCGGCTTGCCAACACTGCAGGTTGACGGCGTGCCAACGTCGCAGGTTGACGGCGCGCCGACGTTGCTCCCGCAGGACAGCAGCGCACCTACTTCGCAGATGATTGGCGTGCAGTGCCTCGTCACCTGCACAGCGCACACACCACATCAACTACGTGCTGACGACTGCCTCTGATGCACCACGTCGACCTCGGGATACCATCACCGAGGTCGTCCTCGCCAAAACCACCCGGGCGAACGTCGCATGCCTCCGCAGAACCTCGTCACCCAGGTAACCTGGTCGACCGAGCAACCAGGTCGACCAGAGGCTCCTGTGCGTGCCCGTCGACCACCCAGGTCGACGACCACTTCCGGTCGACCTCCCCAGGTCGACCACTGCCTCTGGTATGTGCCGGTCGACCTCCCAAGTCGACGGCCACCTCCAGTCGACCTCCCCAGGTCGACCACTACCCCCTGGTCGACCAGCTCCAAGTCGACGTCACTCCGGGTCGACCAGAAGGTCTGGTCGACTCCTCAGGTCGACCAGAAGGGCTGGTCGACTTACCGGGTCGACCAGAAGGTCTGGTCGACTTCCCAGGTCGACCAGAAGGGCTGGTCGACTTACCAGGTCGACCAGAAGGTCTGGTCGACTTCCCAGGTCGACCAGAAGGGCTGGTCGACTTACCAGGTCGACCAGAAGGTCTGGTCGACTTCCCAGGTCGACCAGAAGGGCTGGTCGACTTACCAGGTCGACCAGAAGGTCTGGTCGACTTCCCAGGTCGACCAGAAGGTCTGGTCGACTTCCCAGGTCGACCAGAAGGGTTGGTCGACTTACCAGGTCGACCAGAAGGTCTGGTCGACTTCCCAGGTCGACCAGAAGGGCTGGTCGACTTACCAGGTCGACCAGAAGGTCTGGTCGACTTCCCAGGTCGACCAGAAGGTCTGGTCGACTGCCCAGGTCGACCACCCGAAGTTGGCGCCCTCACGAAGTCGGCGCCCATGCAGTGGCTCCCCGTGCAGGTCGACCAACCTCGTCGACCAACTCGCCCACTGCTGCAGGTCGGCTGCACCCTACACCCGACCACGAAGTCGGCACCGCCCAAGCGAGGACGGGGCCAACATACAACTCCCGTTGACACTCCCCTGCCACGTTCACGCTTGGGCCCCCAGCCCACACGACAGTACTTCTCGGAGAAAAGCTCGTCGACGTGCACCCAACCCACAGCACGTTGTCCACCGCACCAGCCATGCAAGAGGGCATGGCACCTACTGCTGCACGTCGTCGTCGCCGTCGCCCACGTCGGCCAGACGCACTTGGCCGATTGCAACGGAGCACCGGTTGAAGGCCGGATAGTGCAGCGCCTTCGTCAAGAAGTCGGCCGGCTGCTCAGCGGTCGGGATGTACTGCAGCGCAAACTTCCCCCGCTTCACCATGTGCTGCAGCCAGGCCTGTCGCCGCTCCATGTGCTTGAGGTTGCCCGTCAACCCCATGCCCTCGGCGACTGTGATGGCCGACTTGTTGTCCACCCTTAGGACCGTCGGCCTCCCAACATCTAACTGCTGGAACTCTGCCAGGAGGAAGCGAAGTCGGCGTCCCTCCTTGCCAGCTTCGACGGCCGCCACGTACTCCGACTCGGTCGACGACAGCGTCGCGCACTTGATGCGCTGGCTCGACCAGGAGACTGCGGCTCCTCCGTAGACGAACACGTAGCCGCCCATGCTCGTCCTGTTCTGCTTGTCGCCGGCATCGTCGGCGTCCACGTAGCCGACCAGCTCCAGCGACTCAGGTCCACCGCCGAACTCCAGGGCGGTGTCACGCGTGTTGGCGAGGTAGGCAAGGCAGCGGTCGACCTCGCGCCAGTGCTGGTCGCTCCTCACCGTGAGGCCGCTCCCCAGCTTGCTGCAGGCGAAGGCGATGTCCGGCCTCGTCGTCGTCGCCGCGAACTGCAGCGAACCGACCTTCTTCCGGTACTCCTCCTTCTGTCGCTCCTGCGCCTCCTCATCGTCGAAGGTGAGCTCGGCGTAGGCGTCGACCGAGACCGGCGTCTTCGGGGTCCGACCGCCCTGCTCCTCATCGATGAAACGCCTACGCAGCTTGTCGGCGTAGCCCTGCTGGTGCAGCCACAGCTTCCCCGCCGACCTGTCGCGCACGATCTCCAGCCCGAGGTACTTCTGCACCGGCGAGATCTCGCGCAGCTCGAAGGCGGCCTCCAGCAGCTCCTTCAGCATCTCGGGGCTGCTGCTGGCGGCGAGCAGGTCGATGACGTAGACCAGCACCCAACAGGTCACCTTGTCGACGCCGACCTTGAAGTAGAGAGCCTCGTCGACCTGACTCTTCTTCCAGCCAGCGCCGACCAGCACGTCGTTGAGAGCCTTGTACCACAGCAGCGGCGACTGCTTCAGCCCGTACAGGCTCTTCAGCAGCTTGCACACCCGGCCGGTCCCGTCATTGAAGTAGTCCGGCTGGTACATGTAAAGCACGCGGTCGAGCTTGCTCTGCAGGAAGGCATTCTTCATGTCGAGCTGCATCAGGTTGAGGTCGAAGACGGCGACGATGCTGAGGAAAATCCGCAGCGTGACGTAGCTGCTCACCGGCGCGTACGTCTCGTCGTAGTCGGCGCCATACACCTGCGTGAAGCCCTTCACGACCAGCCTCGCCTTCTCGCGCTCGACGGTGTCGTCGATGTGGTACTTCGTCGTCAACACCCACCGGTTCTTCATGATGTTGACCCCGGGTGGGCGTTCGACCAGCTCCCACGTCCCCATGCCGATGAGGCTGCGGATCTCCTCCTCCATGGCGGCCTTCACCGCCGGACCCTTCCAGCTAGCCAGCGCCTCCTTCACCGTCATCGTGGAGATATCCCAACGGTGCTCGGGGTCGGCGTGCATGTCGGGGTCGAGCTCCAGCAGGTCTACATCCTCATCAACGTCGTCGTACAGCAGGTCGTCGTCCTCGTCGACCACGTCATACACCGTGGTGAAGGCAGCCGGGATGAAGAAGTCGGGAGGCCTCCGAAGGCGGCCTGTACGCCGTGGTCCAGCCTGGGCCTCTCCCACGTCACTGTCGGTGGACTCCTCGTCGCCCAACTGCTCCCCTTCATCGTCCTCGTCGTCCTGCTGCACCTCGGTCGGCGTCCCGACCGATTCCTCCCCTGCGGTCAGCTCCCCTGCCGACTGCCAGGTCGCCGACAACTCCTTGGTCGGCCTTGTTGCTGCCTGCTCCCCTGTCGGCGTCGACTTCACTCCCACGTCGACTTGCTGCCCGTCACGTCGGCCACCGGCGATGCTCTTGGCCGCAGGCGACGTCCCACTACTCCCCTCATCGCCGGAGGCCGACACCGGAGTCAGTCCACGCATGTCGGCCACGAGGGGAGAAACATGGGTCGTGGGAGGAGGGGAAGGAGGATGGTCGACCGCGATGTCCCCAGCAGCGAGCTCACCGACCGCCGCGAGCAGAGGCAGCGTCGCCGTCGAGGTGTCAGTCGGCAGAGTGCTCGGCGTCCGTCCGGACACTGGCCCGTGCTCCGACTTCCACACCTCCAGCGACATGTCCTCGTAGAACACCACGTCCGACGTGGTGACCACCCGGTTGTCGGCGATGTCGAGGAGCTCCCAGCCTTTGCTCTCCTCCGACACGCCGAGATGAAGGCCCCATCGGGCCTTCGGCTTCAGCTTCCCACCACGCTGCTGCTCGGGGACGAGGAACTGCGCCATGCAGCCCCACACGCGCGCCAGCGACAAGTCGGGCTTCTTCCCGGTGAGCAACTGGTACGGTGTCGTCCCCGGCGTCGCCGACCTCTCCAGGCAGTTGCGGACCCAGACAGCCTGCCGCAAAGCGAGGTGCCACCAGTGGTGCTGGACGCCCATGTGCAGCAGCATCGTCCGCACCGACTCCACCACCGTCCTCATCTCCCGCTCCGCCATGCCGTTCTGCTGCGGAGTGTATGGGCAGGTGAGGTCGTGGAGGATCCCCTTGCCGTCCACGAGGGCGGTGAAGTCCTTTCCGAGGAACTCCCCTCCCCGGTCAGAGCGCAGCATTAGCACCGACTTCTTGGTCTGTCGCTCCGCCATCACCAGCCACTGCTCGGACTTCTTGGCGACCGGCCGCACCCACACGTAGCGAGTCTTGCGGTCCTTTAGCAGCAAGAAGTACAGGCTGCCGTCCTTGGCAGCCACGCGGAATGGCCCGCACAAGTCGATGTGTACGACGGCCAACACGTCGTCGGCGTCGGAGCCGTGGTCGGGGAAGGTGTGCCTCGCCAGCTTCCCGCCGACACACGAGACACACGGTGAGTCGGCGCCCGTCGCCGACTTGAGGTCCAGCCCAATGACGACCTCGTTCTTCGCCGAGCGCCTGATGGTGTCCATGCCAATGTGTGCAAGCCGAGCATGCAGCCTGTCCGGCGTCGACCTCGTCTTCGAGACGATCGCCCGCAGGGCCACAACCTCCGGCGTGGGTGACGTCGACTTCGTCGAGCAGGGACGCAGGTCGGTGCAGAGGACTCGCCCGGAGTACGTCGCCCGACCAAGCACCTCTCCTGCTGACGAGACGAGCAGCATCCCGTCGCCGTCCTCGTGCAGCTTCACGCCGTGCTCCTTCAGCTGGCCAGACGACAGCAGGTTTGCCCGCACACCCGGGACGTACAGTACGTCGGGGATGAGCACCTGCTTCCCGGCCTCGCCTTGCAGGGCGACGGTGCCGCGGCCCTGGACGTCCTGCAGCGCCCCATTGAAGCCACGCACGTGCTTCACGTCGCCGCTTGGCCCCAAGTCGATGAAGGCGTCCTTCGTCCCCATCAGGTGGTGGGAGCAGCCGCTGTCGAGCAGGACCACCGCCGGATTCGCCTGCACAGCTGCCGCCACCGCCTGGAAGTCCTCGCCGGCCTCCGGCGCCAGCGAGACGGTCGGCTCCACGACGCCGACCAGAGAGCACGACGCCGACTTGTCGTCCTTCCCCTTGCCGCCAGCAGAGGAGTCGGCGTCCTTCGCCGAGGTCGACGACTTGGTCGACGTCTTCTCATTGCGTGACTGGTTTCCTCCTCGCCGAGGACGACGACTGCCCGACCTCCCGCGGCCACCCTTGGCGTCGTCGTCGTCGGAGTCACTGCGGTCGGGGCACTCGAAGGAGAGATGGTCGGGGTCGCCACACAGCCAGCACTCCCGACGTCGACTTCCTCCTCCTCGACCGCTGTCCTTGGTCGACTTCTTCTTGTCGACTTCCTTGGCCAGCTTCCAGCCACTGCTACCACCGCCGCCAGGCTGTCCGCGCTGCCCCGGTCGACTTCCTTGCTTCGCCGGGGCGACGAGGTTCGCCTGTGCCAAGAGCTCCTGTGACCGCTCTGCCTCCTGCATCGCCTCGTCCTGCAGGATGTACGAGGTCAAGTTGTCCTCGTTGAGCGTCGTCCTGGTGCTCGGCGCCATTGACAGCCGCTTCAGAAGGTTGTAGCTACTCGAGAGTCCCTGCATGACGTGGGTGACGTACGACGCCGTCGAGTACTGCGCGCCAGCCATCCTGATGGTGGCGAGAATTCGCCGGGCCCGATTGCAGTAGTCGGTCGCCGTCTCCTCGTCGCCCATACGCAGGTGCGTCAGCTGCCCCTCCAGCTGTGCGATGAACAAGTCGTCGGTGACTTGGTAGGTCGACTCGATGAAGTGCCACGCCCGGTGGCCGGCGTCGAGGTACTCTCGGCACCACTTCAAGGCGATCTGCACGCCCGGCGAGCAGCACCGGGAGATGACTGTGAAGGTCAACAGCTGCACGGCACGAAACTCCGCACGCAAGTCGGGATCGTCCGGCGTCGCCACGGTGCCTCGAGCAAAGCTGATCAGCCCGGCCATTTCCAGCTGGGGCTCGATGGCTTCCTTCCAGGTGAGTATGTCGGGTCGACCAGTGAGCGGCGGAGTGACCAAGATCCTGTCCGGCGTGAACTTGAAGTAGCCGTAGCTCGGTGCAATCCCGCCTGCTGTCACCTGGGTCGCCGACATCGGCACAGATCCACTTCGTCGACCTCCGACGTCACCCTGCAAGGAGCCTGCAGCCGCCGACGACCGCATCCCTCGCGCCTGAACGACGCCGACTTCATCGGCGTGAATCACACCACGCTGCCTCGACGTGCCTCCCGCACTGCTGCCGACTTGACCACCACCGGCGTTGACGCCCATGTCGACGCCGCCTTCGTCGTTCACCGGTCGAGGAGAGGCAGGTCGAGAAGGGTGCTCCGTCGCCCACATGGTGCGGAGTCCAGCCTCGACGACCGCCCAGGGTATTGCTCCGTACTCCTGGGCGTCATGGCGTCTCCTCGCGTCCTCCAGCCGTGCCTCCAGGGTGTCCACCACCCCTGCGTCACCTACGGCTCCTACCATAGTGACCAACGCACAGCTGCCGGCCTACAACGACGAATTAGGTAAGTGATGTCTACGTCGACCCGACTGAAAAGTAAGTCGTGTGCCGTCCACGCTCACCGCACCATGCGGAGATAACTACTACAACGGGAGCTAGACTACGGGCTAGGCACGGGTGCTCGTGTGATCTCTGCGTTCGTTGGTCCTTAGTCGTTTTCCTAGTGTACACACTGCTTGCTAGTTCACAAGGTAATTTGGCAAGAGTTTTACTAGAGAAAGTTGACAACAATGATACAATGAAGTTGGCAAGGCAAGACTACATCAGAGCTAGCATGCAAGCAGGACGACTGCCAGCGCAGCACGGTCGACCGCGTGCCAGCACGACCTGGTCGACCGCGCCCCAGCAGTGCAGAGTCGCGGCTTGCCAACACTGCAGGTTGACGGCGTGCCAACGTCGCAGGTTGACGGCGCGCCGACGTTGCTCCCGCAGGACAGCAGCGCACCTACTTCGCAGATGATTGGCGTGCAGTGCCTCGTCACCTGCACAGCGCACACACCACATCAACTACGTGCTGACGACTGCCTCTGATGCACCACGTCGACCTCGGGATACCATCACCGAGGTCGTCCTCGCCAAAACCACCCGGGCGAACGTCGCATGCCTCCGCAGAACCTCGTCACCCAGGTAACCTGGTCGACCGAGCAACCAGGTCGACCAGAGGCTCCTGTGCGTGCCCGTCGACCACCCAGGTCGACGACCACTTCCGGTCGACCTCCCCAGGTCGACCACTGCCTCTGGTATGTGCCGGTCGACCTCCCAAGTCGACGGCCACCTCCAGTCGACCTCCCCAGGTCGACCACTACCCCCTGGTCGACCAGCTCCAAGTCGACGTCACTCCGGGTCGACCAGAAGGTCTGGTCGACTCCTCAGGTCGACCAGAAGGGCTGGTCGACTTACCGGGTCGACCAGAAGGTCTGGTCGACTTCCCAGGTCGACCAGAAGGGCTGGTCGACTTACCAGGTCGACCAGAAGGTCTGGTCGACTTCCCAGGTCGACCAGAAGGGCTGGTCGACTTACCAGGTCGACCAGAAGGTCTGGTCGACTTCCCAGGTCGACCAGAAGGGCTGGTCGACTTACCAGGTCGACCAGAAGGTCTGGTCGACTTCCCAGGTCGACCAGAAGGTCTGGTCGACTTCCCAGGTCGACCAGAAGGGTTGGTCGACTTACCAGGTCGACCAGAAGGTCTGGTCGACTTCCCAGGTCGACCAGAAGGGCTGGTCGACTTACCAGGTCGACCAGAAGGTCTGGTCGACTTCCCAGGTCGACCAGAAGGTCTGGTCGACTGCCCAGGTCGACCACCCGAAGTTGGCGCCCTCACGAAGTCGGCGCCCATGCAGTGGCTCCCCGTGCAGGTCGACCAACCTCGTCGACCAACTCGCCCACTGCTGCAGGTCGGCTGCACCCTACACCCGACCACGAAGTCGGCACCGCCCAAGCGAGGACGGGGCCAACATACAACTCCCGTTGACAACGGCCACTCTCCCCCACTCTTCCTTCCACTTACTTTCTCATGCCTGCATCTCCTCCAGTTTTCCCATGCAACTCCACTTTTCGCATCTCTCACTTCTTCTCTTCTCTTTCATAGGCCACTCTCCTCCACTTTTCCTTCCACTTACTTTCTCATCCCCTTCCCGCCTAACTCCTCGCTCGCTCCTCTTTTCTCCCATCTCCACCCTCCATCTCCGCCCGCCTTCCTCCACCCTTCCCCCTTCCCCCTTCCCCCTTCCCCCCCCCTTCCCCCTTCCCCCTTCCTCCTTCCCCCTTCCACCCTCCCCATCTCCCCCTCCCCCAGCTCCCTCTATCGCAACAACATCACCGGCTCGCTTCCTATTGGCCTCTCACAGCTCTCCTACCTCTTTGACATGTGAGGGGGAGAAGGGAGGAGGGTGGGGGGGGGGGGGGGGGGGGGAGTTGTGAAGGGAGGGGGGTAAAGGGGGGGGGTGTGAAGGGAGCGGGGGGTGAAACTCCCCGTGGGCTCTCACAGCTGTCCAACCTCTTTGACATTTGAGGGGGAGAAGGGAGAGGGGTGGGCATGTGAGGGGAAGGGGGGTATGGTATGGTATGAGGCGGGGCGGGGTAAGGAAGGGGAGGGGGGATAAGAATCCACCTGGGGCATCTCACAGCTCTCCTACCTCTTTGACATGTGAGGAATCAAAGACCAGCTTGAATCCTTTCACTCCCAACCCAACCTCTCTGCTCCCAAATATTCTTCTCCTCCAACCACAGATAGTTTCCCTCCATCCTTCCTTCCTTTCCTTCTTTCCTTTCCTCCCTTCCCCCCACCCACCCCCCACCCAACGCCATGCCAGACAGCAAGCCCACGGGCACTATCCCCTCCTATTCCTCCTATAAGATATTCCACTCTCCTTCCCCTCCATCTCCCCCTTGCATCCCTTCCCCTTTCCCCCCACCCCACACAGCGACACGTGATACAGCAAGCTGACTGGCACTATTCCCGCCTTCTGTTGATCTTACGTGGTTATCCCCTCTTCTTCCCTTCATCCTCCCTTCCCTTCATCCTCCCCTCCCTTCATCCTCCCTTCCCTTCATCCTCCCTTCCCTTCACCACACCCCACGCAACGACATGTCATGCAACAAGCTGACAGGCTACTATCTCTGCCTTGCAACACACTTAAGGCTTTTGAGACGTCTCAAAAGTTGCAACACACTTAAGGCTTTTGAGACGTCTCAAAAGTTGCAACAAGCTCACAGGCACTATTCCCTCTTTCTGCTCTCCTCCCATGCTCTCCACCCCCTTTCTCTTCCATCACCCCCTTGCACCGCACACCTTCCCCCCACCACACCCAGCGACCTGTCATACAACAAGCTCACGGGGACTATCCCCGCTTTCTGCAACACAGACCTGGCAGACCTCTCCATTCTGTCAGTGCCTCCCTCACTCCCTCGCTCCCTCACTCCCTCACTCGCTCACTCGCTCACTCGCTCACTCCCTCACTCGCTCACTCGCTCACTCCCTCACTCGCTCACTCCCTCACTCGCTCACTCGCTCACTCCCTCACTCGCTCACTCCCTCACTCGCTCACTCGCTCACTCGCTCACACTCTAATCACACATGTCCGACCTCTCCATTCTGTGAGTCCCGTCTCTCCTCTCCGCACCCGCCTCTCTTCACACAACCCGTCAAGCCCTCTGCCTACCACGTGTGCACCAGTTTTGAGACGTCTTAAAACCCGTCTCTCTTCACACAACCCGTCAAGCCCCCTGCCACGTGTGGCATGTGCACCTCTAATCACACATTGCCGACCTCTCCATTCTGTGAGCCCCTTGGCCCCTTACCTCTCTATTCTTACCTCTCTATTCTTACCTCTCTATTCTTACCTCTCTATTCTTACCTCTCTATTCTTACCTCTCTATTCTTACCTCTCTATTCTTACCTCTCTATTCTTACCTCTCTATTCTTACCTCTCTATTCTTACCTCTCTATTCTTACCTCTCTATGCTTACCTCTCTATTCTTACCTCTCTATTCTTACCTCTCTATTCTTACCTCTCTTTCCAGTCAGTCCCTTCCCTTCCCTCTCAACACACACTCCACGGCCCTCCACCTAGTATTGTCACTCATCCTCCCCCTCCTCCCCGCTTCAACAGCCCCCCCACCTTCCTTCCCCATTTCCCCCCTCCCCCCCCCCCTCCTCCCCCCCCCCCCCCCCTCCTCCTCTCCCCACTCTCCGCCCGTTCCTCTCAGGAATCTCTCCAACAATCTTCTCACAGGCTCCCTCCCGCCTTGCCCCCGCTGGCCCCCCTGCTCCCCCTGCTCCCCCTGCTCCCCCTGCTCCCCCTGCTCCCCCTGCTCCCCCTGCTCCCCCCTCCTCCTCTCCCCCCACACCGTCCCCTCAGGAACCTCTCCAACAATCTTCTCACGGGCTCCCTCCCAGCCTCCCTCTCGCTCTGTGCTTCCATTTACTCCCTGTAAGCTGCTCTGCCCTCTGTGCACCCCATGCGCTCGTTTAAGTATTTTCAATTCCTTCGTCGCATCTCTTTTTTCTGCTCCTCTCAGCCCTCTCAGCCCTCTCTACCCTCTCAGCCCTCTCTACCCTCTCAGCCCTCTCAGCCCTCTCAGCCCTCTCAGCCCTCTCTACCCTCTCAGCCCTCTCAACCTCTCAGCCCTCTCAACCTCTCAGCCCTCTCAACCTCTCAGCCCTCTCTACCCTCTCAGCCCTCTCTACCCTCTCAGCCCTCTCAACCTCTCAGCCCTCTCTACCCTCTCAGCCCTCGCTACCCTCTCAGCCCTCTCTACTCATTCTTATTTCCTTACAGGGACGTCAGCGGCAACTACTTAAACAACAACCCAGCCACTCTTATCACCAACCCTCCCACACTACTCCATCTCTTCTCCCTGCCGCCCTTTCCCCCCGCCCATCTTTTGAGACGTCTCAAGAGCCCTCCCACACTACTCCATCTCTTCTCCCTGCCGCCCTTTCCCCCCGCCCATCTTTTGAGACGTCTCAAGAGCCCTCCCACACTACTCCATCTCTTCTCCCTGCCGCCCTTTCCCCCCGCCCATCTTTTGAGACGTCTCAAGAGCCCTCCCACACTACTCCATCTCTTCTCCCTGCCGCCCTTTCCCCCCGCCCATCTTTTGAGACGTCTCAAGAGCCCTCCCACACTACTCCATCTCTTCTCCCTGCCGCCCTTTCCCCCCGCCCATCTTTTGAGACGTCTCAAGAGCCCTCCCACACTACTCCATCTCTTCTCCCTGCCGCCCTTTCCCCCCGCCCATCTTTTGAGACGTCTCAAGAGCCCTCCCACACTACTCCATCTCTTCTCCCTGCCGCCCTTTCCCCCCGCCCATCTTTTGAGACGTCTCAAGAGCCCTCCCACACTACTCCATCTCTTCTCCCTGCCGCCCTTTCCCCCCGCCCATCTTTTGAGACGTCTCAAGAGCCCTCCCACACTACTCCATCTCTTCTCCCTGCCGCGCTTCCTCCCCTACCCTGCCCATCCGCCTTGCAGGGACGTCAGCGGCAACTACTTTAACAACAACCCGGCCACTCTCATCAGCAATCTGCCCTCACTCGCATATCTGTGCGTTTGACGATGTTTTAGTCGATTAAAAAATCTGCCCTCACTCGCATATCTGTGCGTTTGACTATGTTTTAGTCGACTAAAATAACTGCCCTCACTCGCATATCTGTGCGTTTGACCTTTTGGCTCTTGAGACGCCGCAAAAGCCTCTCGACTTTCTGTACATCTCATGAGGTTTTACACACCTACAGCCGTGGCTCCATTCGTTTTCTGAATCAACTCAAAACACAAGTCGCCGACTTTTGAGAGGCCTCAGAAGTCCCTTAACACATATAATGAGGCTTTGCACAGCCACAGCCTCGTCTCCTTTCGCCACGAATCTGCCCTCCTTTGCCTATCTCCGTCCGTCTCTTGCATTCTGCATTTCTGTTTTTTTTTTTTTACCACCAGAGCGACCTGCTTTTTCTCGATTCCCAAAACTCTCCCCACCTCCTCTCAACCCACCCCTGCAACCTCTCTTGCACTCACTCACACCAGCTTCTTCCCGCGCCCTCCCTCACTCCCCATTCTCTCCCCATCCCCATCTCCCGCCCCTCCTTCCCCCTCCCCCAGCAACCTATCGCGCAACTACTTCACAGGTCTCCTCCCCACGCTCCCCTCTGCCGCCTCCCTCCTCTCTCTCGACCTCTCCTCCAATTATTTCTTCGGTCTAGGCAACGCTTATGACGCCTCTAGCAACCCCATCTGTCCCTCCGAAACCCTCCCGGTCAACACAACCGGCAACTGCCTCACCTACCTCTCCTCTCCCCCTTGCACCGACCCTAGCTACCCCCCGGACCAGCCGCAGCGATCCGTAGCTCAGTGCCAAGCCTTCTGCCGGACCAGTTTCTCAGGTTCAGATACCGGGCTCGTGAATGAGCAGTGTGGGTTCGGCGGAGGGGTGTGTATTGCCACGGCGACTTCGATTTCGACGACGACAAGAACAGCTACAGTGCAGTTCAAGTGTACCTGCAACACTACATTGTATTATTTATCTGCAGACGGCTTGACGTGCATTCGCAAGCGTAAGTTGCTTCTGCTCCAACCAACCAAGTATTGTTTCAAGAGCATCCTTTCTTTTTTGTTATTATTTTATTTCATTTTATTTTATTTTATTTTCTCTCCAAGCTTCGCTTTTCCACTCTACTCATATTGATAATGAGTCGTGTTTTCGAGTCTGACACTTTCTGTTGCATTGCTCTCACAGCTTCTCCTGCTGTTGGCTCACTCATACGCTGCCTCAACATACTCTCATAAAACCTTCCCCCTTCTCGTATATCCCTCTTCTGCTCCTCTTCCCTCCCCTTTCCCTTATCTTTCCCCTCTCCCCTTCATTCCCTCCTCTTTCCCTCCTCTCCTCCTCTTCCCCTTCTCTCTCCATCTTACCTCCTCTTTCCCTCCTCTTCCCCTCTCTTCTCCTATCCTATCCCATTCCTCCTCCCCATTGGCAAACTACAGCAACCCCCCCTCCGCCGCCGCAGCCTCCTTCCCCCCCACCTCCTCCCTCCCCTCCTCCATCCCCTCCTCCTCCCTCACCTCCTCCTCCATCTCCCCCTCCCTCGCCACCACCCCCGGCCGCGTGGCAAGTGACGCGGTGGGAGTGTATAAACAAAGATCTTCAGGGCGTCTGTGCCTGCAGCTGCTTATTTGGCAACCAGTGCTACTGCCCTATATAGTTTTGAGACGCCTCAACTCAAAACCCCTTCTTCGGCGTGGCAGTGACTCTTTGGCAGTGCATAAACAAGGACCTTCAAGGCACCTGCTCCTGCAGCTGCTTGTTTGGCAACCAGTGTTGCTGTCCAGTCTCCAGCACATGGTAACCAATGATACCGCAGTGACCCAGACTACACATTGTGGTACCACGAGTGTAGCACAATATACAACCTGAATTTGGAGGTTTGATTTCCGTTGTGCCCATTGCTTTGCGCAAAGATTCGACCACCCTCTGACCTTTCGCTGGCATTAAGGCAGAAATATGATGTTCTGTTGCCTGCATACTTGGCTGGGTATCCTATTCTCAGCATACCGTAGTTGGTACCTAAGCACAGTCCGGTTGCATGGCAATATCATAGATTCATAGCCCTGAGTGTCAGGTGTGATTGAGGTGCAGTCTAGCAAAAAATACTGCACTGATCTTGTTCACATCTAATCTTCTGGAAATTACAAGTGTGAACCCCTTGTCAGGATCAGTATGGATACGGTATAATCCCATGTGTACATGTCATTTTTCACACCAAGGGAGAATGCACTGATGGTGAAGTGAACCCACAGCTACGGTACAACACATTGCGGCTGCATATCAGAAGTGCCGCAACCAGCAAAAGTGCTACACATACCGTACAGCCCCGCTGTCTACAATCATTGCCTAGTTGATGGGAACATCTACAACAGCTGGCTTCTTCGGCTCGGGTGGCTTGACCTTCGGCACAGTCACAGTGAGCACACCATTCTCCGAGATCGCAGCGATCTTATCCACTTCCACGTTATCCGGAAGACGGAATCGCCTCAGAAACTTCCCCGTGCTCCGCTCCACACGGTGATACTTTTCCGTCTTTTCCGTGACTTCGCGACTCCGCTCGCCGCTGATGGTGAGCAGATTCTTATCTTCGATTTGGACCTTCACCTCGTCTTTCTTCAGTCCCGGAAGATCCGCGATGAATTCGAAAGCCTCGGAAGTCTCTTTGACGTCGACAGTTGTACACGCCATTGCGTTGCTGTCTCTCACGAAATTCGACGTCGGCGCGTCGAAGAGAGCACTGAACTCATCTGGAATGTGCGATAACCGGAGAAGCGAGTTGAGCGTCGGGTTGGTGCTGAAAACTGTGAGCGCCATGGCGTACTTGTGCTGTGGACTGGCGTAAATACGCGAACTTTCAAGCGACGGAAATTGCTGAGAAGCTGTGAAAGCGCTGGTAAGAACGTATGAGAAATAGCTTGTGAGGGCAGTGCTTGAAGAACGTTGTTTTAGTCGATGATTTGATGACACTCGAGTGGAAATCCGCCGGCTTTATAGAAATCACTGCTAGCCCGAAAACAAAAGGCGGTTCGCAAAAAACGTATGGAAGTCTACAAACTGGCGAGGCCATGGCTCTGGAATGCACGGGATGCGTCTGGAGCATAGAAGCTGGCTGTAGTGAACGACCCTGCCTAGAACATGGAGTCGTGAAGTTTCTAGGAGAAGCTGGAAGTTGGTGGAAAGAAGCGGTCTTGCTGCTCAAATTTGAGAATGGCAGAAGACTTCGAAAATGTACCCTGGGATTCCCAGGCTGGGAATGTCTAGGAGCTGGTCGGTGTGCGTGTCAGAATGATCTGGGACTCCATCAACGTACGCGATAAGCGCTTCTTATTTCGATACATATCTTCTGGAACATTCGTTGGTAATAACGTCATCATCCACTGACTGGATCCATCTGTTGCAAATCATATAAATCAACCACCACAAAAAAGCTAAAAGGTAAAAGCATAATCAAACACATTTCAAGGCATTTTGGCTGGAAGTGTTATTACCGCAATTTAGGATGCTTTCACTTCACATTATTCACTGGTTGGCGGATACATCATTTGCCATAACTCAGGCTGCCTCATGTACTTCCCATAAGTGAAACAGTTGGTATCAAACCCGTCTGATCTATCCTTGAAACACCATGGCACTGGACACGCCATGATTGAAAGGGCTCCACAACACTCCTTGCCATCAAATCAGAAGCTGCAATGCAACTACACCACACGCTACAGCCGCAACCTACAGTGCATGCCCATCTATGTAACTCTTGAGCGCGCTGCTCCTCCCCGGCTGCCGCAGCTTCAGCAGCGCCTTGCCCTCAATCTGCCGCACCCGCTCCCTTGTCACGCGGAACAGCGACCCCAGCTCCTCCAGTGTCTTCACGCGCCCGTCGTCCAGCCCATACCGGTGCCACATCACCTCCCTCTCGCGCGGTGTCAGCGTGTGCAGGGCGTTCTCGAGGTCCTTGCGCATGAGCTGCTGCATGATCATGTCCTCAGGATTCTCCAGGGTCGTGTCTGCCACAAAAGCCTGGGGATGGAACAGAAGGGACAGCAAGAGAGATGTGAGTGTGTGGGTTAGGTAACAAGGTCCTTGGCACATCAGCTGCAACGCGAGCTTCCCTTCCCCCCACCCACCCAGGGAATCCCGTGGCCTGCCTACCACCACTCTAACTCTGTTGAAATAAACACTCACCCCGAGGGTCTCATCCCCATCGTCCGAGGCAATGGGGCGGTCCATGGACGTGGGCGCGCGCACGGTGCGCATGATGCTGCGCAGCTTGCCCCGCGTGATGCCCACCAGCTGCGCCACCTCCCGCTCCGCCGGCGCGCGCCCCAGCGCGTCCGTCAGCATCGCCTTGGCGCGGTTGATGCGCGATACCAGCTCGTAGATGTGAGCCTGGTGGGGAGGAAGGGAGGGGGGTTGGGTGGGGGGGTTAGGAGGGGGGTTGGGGTGGAGGGAGGGCGGGGGAAGGGGAGACGGAGTGAGGGGGGACAGGGTGTGTTTCACTCTACCATCCGTCAGCACGGCCTTGGCGCGATTAATGCGCGACGCCACCACACCATTACAGTCACACGCATTGCGCCCCACACTCACCGGCAGTCGCACGATGCGGCTCTGCTCCGCGACGGAGCGGCTGATCGCCTGGCGGATCCACCAGTGCGCGTACGTGCTGAACTTAAAGCCCTTGCTGTGGTCGAATTTCTCCACGCCCTTCATAAGCCCCATGCACCCCTCCGTTATAAGCTCCTCCAGCGACAACCCGCGCGTCGTGTACTTCTTCGCGACGGAGATCACCAGTCGCATGTTCGATGCGATCATGCGCTGCTTGCACTCCTTCCCCCACGCCACCCGCGCCTGCACCTCCGCGACAGACAGCCCCGCCGCTTCCGCCCACTCCGCACGGGTCGGCGCGCGGAGCAGCTTTTCCTCTAGCTCCTCTCGCGCGCGCTCCAGCTTCAGCAGCGCCTGGACCCCCTTGGAAAGATCGATTTCCTCTTGCACCGACAGCAACCGCGGGTTACCACCAGCCGTGTCGAACATTGCGAAAACCGATTCGTTCGCCGCCCGCCTGTACCCCTCCGCCACGACCGCATCTTCCGCTTCCGACTCCTCCTCCCCCAGCGCGAGCGCCGGCCCTTCCGCCGCCGGCTTCTTCCTTGCGGGAGCCGCCGCGGTGGCGGCGGCGGCGGCGGCTGACGCGGCCTGGCGCTGCTGCAGGGCCTTTTCGCGCTCCGCGAGGCGCTTCCCCTTCTTCTGTGAACGCACCACCACGCGCTTCGGCTTCCGCTCCGCTTCCCCTTCCCGCTCCGCCTTCCGCTCGGCTTCCCGCGCGCCGTCCTCCAGCGCGCGTTCTAGCCCGTGGTACGGGGCGTCTTCCGCCCACATGACAAACTCCGCCGGATGCGCATCCTCCCCACTCACATCTCCGCCGCCTACTGCTTGCGCCGAACTACCTTCTTCCGCCTTCCCCTCCCCTGACGCCCCGCCCGCCCGTCGCGCCGCTCTCCTTACAGGAATCGGCTTCGCGGTGCGTTTGACAGCGTGCGGTTGGTCGCTAAGTCCTGTCCTCGACGATCTACCCTGCGCCATTTGATCTACCGCAGATACGATACGGCCTTCCGGGTGAGGGGGTTCCTGGGGAAGATAATCATGTGGAAGCCGGGCGAACGGCTGGGTTGAAAACGGTTGGAAGGGGGAATGTTCGACTGGGGACGGCTGGACTTGGGCAGGCGGTGGGGGAGCGGGAGAGGCGGAGGCGGAAGAAAGGCGCAGTTCTTCAATTAGGCTATCTTCCACGGGATACGAGCCGATATGTGTGACCTTATCGACAGCTAAGAGCCACATATGATGCAGCTGATCGCTGCTCATAATCTCGTCCGCTCCCTCCTCCTCTACCTCCCCCCACCCTAACAACGGCGAGCTTAGCGAGCTCTCCTGTGGTAACCCGTATTCGTCGCCGTCGTCATCGTCGTCGTAGAGGCCCATCGCCTCCTCTGATAGAGAAAGCTCCGCGGCTTCCTTGGCAACAGCTAGCGCAGCGCGCGCAAGCGCAAGGGCTTCCGCCGCCGCTGCGCGGGTAGTGGCGGCGGTGAAGAGGTCGTCCGCCAGTTCAGTGGCGCACGCGGAAGCGGGGGAGACGGAAGATGCGGAGAATCGAGCCGAGGCACCGACGGCAGAGCCATTGACGTGACTGCGTGATGGGATGACGGGAGGCGGATCAGAGGGGAGGAGGGGAAGAGGAGAGGGGGGAGGGGGAGAGGGGGGAGGGGGAAGGGAGAGAGGGGGGAGGGGGGAGGGGGAGGGGTGGGAAAGGGTGGATGGGCAGATAAAGAAGGGGGATGCGGGAAGAGCAGGATGGAGGGGGGAAGAGCAAACCGCGGTGTGAAGGAATGCACGAAGAGATGAATAAGGGCATGTCGGAAATGGTACACAGTGGTATGCACTAGAGGATGCAGGAGAAAATGCATCAAGAGAAACGCAGTGCCATCGCAACGGGCTTTTGAAGGGAATCCAGACAGTATGGTCGAACGCGACAGAGATGTATCACATTTCTGGATGTTCGGCTGAGATTCGCGTCCGCCGCTTGTCAAACCGCTTACTGTTGCGATGAGCTCGCGAGGCCGGAATGCAGGGTCGTGCGCGGTGGCGACGCGGAGACCGACGCGGTATGCGCGGAGCTGGCTGCCAGGGACGGACCGGCGGAAGGCGCGGAGTTGGCGGAGGCCGCCGGAGCCTCTGCGACTGGCAACGCTCGCCGGAAAGGAGTTGCTGACGTGGACGAGCTCAAACACGGGCTTGACCCTGAACAAGCGACGGGTTACAGACGCCAGGAAAGAGTTAGATCAAATATCAGATATCACAAGGAAAATATTATGAAGATGAGAGCCGACGTGTGTAGACGGACAGTGTTAGGTCAGGAGAGAAAAGCTCCTGCTTTGACTGAAGGTGCTAAAACCCGCACTTTCAAATACCTGGTCTGTCAACAGTCACGCGTTCCAAAAGGAACTTGCGCTGGAAAGCAGTAGCGGAAACGGCCATTTGGCAGAATCCAACAGAGCTGAGGAGTTCAGCCACGGAACGGGATGGTGATGGCTGCTGACAATGGAAAAACCCTGCTTGATGTCAGTAACTCCAGCAGAGCTCGAGGAGAGCAGGGATTAGAGAGGAGGGAGAGCAGCTGCTGGGGCAACCGGCAAAAGAGAAATCTGAAATGAAGGGGTGGATTTTATACTGCCTTGGGAATTCCTGACGAGCGGCACTGAAACGAGGGTGGACAATTGCCAGAGGGGGAAATCCATCGTACAGCTGCTTCGTCACTGAACGTTTGTTATGTTGCGCGACAAAGCGAAATTTTTCTGGAGTTCGCCTCTCTCGCAGAGTAACCATCACGCTTCGTTCGTTCTGAACAGTCATCAGGCCAGAAGCTTTGAATCATCGAAGAAGCTCATCGTGGCACGCCCGCATTCGTTAACGACGCAGAGTGTCGATGCATCTTTGCCGTTCGAGAAGGATCCAACGGCAAGCAGCTAGACATTGCCGTCCACGTCGATAGCCACCAGATTGGTCCACGACTTGCACTATCCGAACGCACTTCCATTTCGTTGCGCTGGAAATGCACGGAATGACGTGGAGCTAACTCCTCCTGGCAAGTGTGACGATAGAAGCAGACATCCCTGGTTTGGAGCACAAGCTGTCATCACATTTGGTGCTTTATCTACATATGGTATGATTATACAAAATTGATTCCTGAAAGCTACCACATGCCACCACACCACTTCCACAATGGTTCTCGCACATCACCCACACATATTGACAAATTTGATAGGAGTTCGGCTCGCACTACATATTGTACAAGCCTTTGACGGCCAGTTGTACTCGAAATGAGCCTCTATAAAGGACTCCACAGGGCTGCACACATTCTGACTAGTCCAATAGTTCGTAATAAATAGAAATTTGCCGGTCACTCCTCAAGAGTCGAAATCCCACCCGCCAAGATCCACCATGTTCATGTCTTCCAGAGTTAACTCGATCTCACCCGGCCATTCCACCTCCGCACCACCCACGATCATACTCTCCAAACCAGTTACTCCAGCAGCTTCCGTTACAAGCACACCATTGTTACCACCCTTTGCCCCATCCACCAACCCACCAGCCGCAAGCACCCCAGTTGCCCCTGCCGAAGCACTCCCATGAGTTGCAGCCCCTGCTGCTGTTGCTACTAGTGGTGATAGGCCAGCAGCAGCACCCGTTACACCCACATCTGAGCCTGACGGGGCTAGCGCATGTGCATGCTGATGACTATGATGGTTGTGATTATAATGATGCTGCTGCGGCTTCTGCTCCAGCTCCTGTGGCTCAACAAAACCATCAGTTTCTGGCTCAGACTTCATGTACCCCTCCACACCCACCCCAACCCCTCTCAACCCCGCCTCCACCCTCCCATCTCCAACCTCCCGCCCCAGGGCCCCAAACTCCCCACTCCCCTGCCGGTCAGCCAGCAGCTGCAGGGAATTTCTTCGGCTGCCCATACCACTGCCCATGGGGGAAGGCGCCGCACTCCCTTCCCAAACCTCATTCTCCGAGCCAAACCCATCCTCCGTACCTCCATACCCAGCCTGACCCATGCTCTGTCCCACACTCTGTGCCATACTCTGCCCCATGCTCTGTTGCCCTGCGCTCCTGCTCGTGCCGCCCTCGCCGCCCTCGTTGCTGCTGTCCGCCGGCCGACCCAGGCTGCCCGTGCCGACCGAAGATGTCCCTTGGCTCTCGCCCTTCTCCTTCTTTAGAGTCTGGTTCATTAAAAGGAACATGGGGACAGTTGACAGCGCAAATGAGGAAGACGCCTAAAAAAAGGAGAATTTCGAGGCGCATAAAAAACGCTGACCGACAGGGTCCCCTGACTCTCGCCGTCCTCCTTCTGCACCGTCTGGTTCGGTGCAAGGAAGCGAGGGAAGAGTTGGACGGGCGGACGAGTGAGTGGAAAGAGTGACTGACTGTTGGGAGATCTAAACAAATACAACCTTGGATTTTGGTTCAGGCAAGAGCGTGTACGGGGCAGTCGAGGAGGTGGGATGAGGAAGAGAGTAGATAGAGGGCTTTTGCGTGAAGCGCAACAAATGAGTGTAGAGCTCGTGTGAACACCCAGCGATCATTCGCTGCAGCTCTTCCCACCCCCTCAGTCATCTGCACTCACTCATTCCCACACCCACTCAATCACTCACCCAACCACTCACTCACCCATCCACTCACTCACCCACCCACTCAATCGCTCACACCCTCGCACCGCACCTGCACTTGCTCCTGCAGCGAGCGCACGTATTGAATCGCTTCATCCAGCATAGATGCTGTGTCTGTGTTGCGTGCATTCGGCACCAAGTCGTACAGCGCCCGCATACGCTGGCTGATGCGGTCCCTCCGAAGCTGCAGGTGACAATCAAGGAAAGGGGGAGAGGGCGTGAGGAACGGGCTTCTGACTTGCGTGCATTCGGCACCAAATCGTACAGCGCCCGCATGCGCTGGCTGATGCGGTCCCTCCGAAGCTGCAGGTAACAATCAGGGAAAGGGGGAGAGGGCGTGAGGAACGGGCTTCTGACTTGCGTGCATTCGGCACCAAACCGTACAGCGCCCGCATGCGCTGGCTGATGCAGTCCCGACGCAACTGAAGGTGAAAATGGGGGGAGCCAGAGAAGACAGAGGGGAGAGGACTGAGGCGTGTGGGAAAAGACATAGTTGGTCTCTTTTGAGACTAGTTTTGAGGCGCCTCAAAACTAGACTTCTCTTTTGAGAATTCTCAAAACGGAAATTCAAGTGTGGGAAGGAAGGTCAGGATCTTAACACGGGGCTCAGGCTTGGCAGCCACTAAGCCTTGAGGCGTCTCATAACCAGCGTCTCATAACCATGCAAGCAACTCGCTCGCCCCCCATGCCACTGAGTGTGGTGTGGGTCTGTGGCCGCCCCCTGCTTCCGAATTGACTCAAACGTCACCTCTGAGGGACAGCCGTAACTGAAAGCACACAGCCCCATACCATCAACCCACTCACCCTTGCTGCCACTGAGTGCGGATCCGTGGCTGTCCCCCTCTTCTGCCTCTGCTTCTTCGCCTCTCCCCCAACCTCTGGGGGACAGCAGTGACTGATAGCACACAGCCCCACAACACCTTGACATGAGCTCACTCACTCACCCTTGCTGCCACTGAGTGTGGGTCCGTGGCCGTCCCTCTCTGCTGCATGACTCAAACGTCACCTCTGAGGAACAGCCATGCCTGAAAGTAGGCTCTAAAGCTGCAGGGTTAGCATTAGCTACTGCCTGAAAGCACACAGCCCCACAGCACCAAGCCACCAGCCCACTCACCCTTGCTGCCACTGAGTGCGGATCTGTGGCTGTCCCCCTCTTCTGCCTCTGCTTCTTCGCCTCTCCCCCTGACGCCTCCCCTTGAGCACCCCCACTGACCCCCCCAACAGCCGCACCAGCGGAAGACGTCCCCCCCCCCCACCCGCCCCCGCCCCCCCTTTCTTCCCCCCTCCCTCTCTCCTCGCCCTCCCCCCTCCCCCGCTGTTCGCCCCACTGACCTGCCCCGAACTCCCCCCAACCCCTCCCCCCGACCCCCTCCGCCCTCCCACTGCGCCCCCCCCTCCCTGCGCCTCATCCCCCTGCCCCATAGGCTCGTCTCTGTCACTCTCCCCTTCCCCCACATCACTCCCCCAGGCGCGTTTCCTGCAAGGGCTCTCCCCCCTGAGGGGACTCCGCCCCCGGATAGGACTTTCCCCCTCATAGGACTCTCACTTCTCATCCTCTCCCTGCTGCCATCCCTACTGCCCATCCCCACTCCTCCCGCTCCCCTCCCCCCTCGCTCCCCACTCCGCCCCCTCCCCGCTGAATTTCCAGGAAGCTGCGGGCTCCTGCCGGGTTTACTAGACCCAGACCCGGACCCTCCAGAGCCCCCCCCTTCGAAAACAGAATTCGCAAACCCATCACCTGGGGATCCACCTGAAGACGTGAACCCACCTGGGCTCTCCCCCCCACCTGACCGCCCGGAATCTGTACTCAGCGCCGGACTCAGCGTCCGGGCAGACGAACAATTCGACCCGCCCGCCAGCCCAGCAGCACCCCCGCCAGGCGTCCCCCCACCCCCGCCCGCACCACCCGGGCTGTTCCCTAGCACACCGCTGCTTCGAGCAAACTCTAACAGCTGTTTCTGCTCGGACTCTGGGAGAGACGAGCTTCCACTGGAGGTGCGGATGTGTGAGAGAGCCACGCGGCTGCGTTTGCCCGAGTTTTCAAACACCTCCGTGGAAGGCAGGTCGCCTATGGGCGTGTCTAGAGGCAGCAGCTCCAGCCCCACGTGCCACCCTGCTGGCCGCCCCTGCGCCTTCTCCTTCCCACTCCCTCCTCCCGCTCCTCCTCCCGCTCCTCCTTCCCCTCCTCCGCCCCCTCCTCCTCCGCCTGCTGCTGCCCCTGCTGCTGACCCTCCTGCTCCTGGCAGATCCCCATTTGAACCAGCCCCAGGGTCTGGGGGAGTATTTCTGGAGGGAGCAGCGTTCAGGCTGGAAGCACGACCTCCCAGGGGACCCCCTAGGGAACCCCCTAGGGAACCCCCTAGGGGCACTCCCCCACCTTTTGCGTCTATACCGCCACGGGAACCTGATGCCCCCGCAGGGGTGTTTTTTTTTCAGAGAGAGGGAGTTGAGGCTTCGGGAGGTCATCCCCGCAAAAAGATTTTGGCTGCTGCCCGCCGCCGCCGCCCCTGCAGGGCTCATGGCAGACGAAATTCTCGCTCTGCTGCCCGAGACTTCTGCTGTGGTGGCAGGGCTCATGCATACTGAGCTGGACTGGCCTGATTCTGACGTGTCAAACTCTAGTGTGTCCAGATTCAGGCCGAATCCCGCTATGTTTATCCCCTCTAAGAGATCATTTACTGCACTCGCTTGTAGATTAAATATGTTGGTCTCATTGGCAGTCTGCCTGCCTCCTACTCCCCCTGCTGCTGCTGCTGCTGCTGCTGCTCCTCCTCCTGCTGCTGCTGCTGCTGCTGCTGCTCCTCCTCCCCGACTTTGTCCTGTTCCCGGTCTGCTTTGGGCTGATTCTTCTAACGCTCCCCCCCCACCACTCGCTCCTGTCCCCCTCCCCTTTCCATCCACCTCCATTTCCCCTTCCCCAGCCCCTCGGCTCCCCTCATGCATATCCTCGCCCCCAGCGTTTCCCCCAACCCCCCCACGCCCGCCCCCTTCCGCGCCCAGCGAATCAGAGAGCTCGATGTTCCCCAGATCCGCTTGCGCCTGGGCGAGAATAGACCCCCACGCCTCCCCCATCTTCCCCTTCCCAGCCGCTGCTGCTGCTACTAACTCCGCCAGTACCTTTTCCTCTACAGACATTCCCCCCTTTCCGCCCTTAGCGCCGCTGCTGCTCCCCCCCGCGCCTATCCCCGCGCCACTGCTGCTGGACTGCGCCTGCTTTCCCCCCATCTGGCGCGGCTGGCTCCCCCCAAGCGCCCCCGTTCCCCCTCCCGCGCCCCCCCCTGCTGGCGCATCTGCTGCTGTTTCTGCTGCAGCAGCTGGTTCAATAAGTCTCCCTGAGAGTCGCTTCCGCCACCAGGGGAGGCGGCGGAGGTGGGGGAGCGCGGAAGGTCAATCCCCCCCCGCCCTGGGGAAACGGGGGCCTGGGCGGAAACCCTTGCTCCCCCTGCGCCTCCACCTCCTCCTCCGCCTGCAGCTTCTGCTGTTGGTCTTGTGCTACTATCCTGACTGACGCTAAACGCGGATGCCTCAGGGGCGCTATCCGCCCTCCCCATGCCCGCCCCCGCGCCCTCATCCGCTCCACCCTTCCCCCCGCCCCCTGCGCCTTCCGCGCCCCCCGCGCCCCCTTTAGAGCTTCCGCCCGCGCCCGCCTTCCAGCTGGGGTTCCGCGAGGAGGACTGGCGGCGCTCCAGGGGGGCTTGGTTGGTTGGCGCGGAGGGGCTGGGGTCGGGGCGGAAGGGGGAAGGGGGATGTGCGGGGAGTGGGGGCGCGAGGGGAAATAGGTGCGGAAGGGAGGGGGATGAGGGCATAAAAAAGGAATAAGTGAAAAGGCGGGAAAGGGTTGGGGGTGGAGCACAGCATAGGGTAGGGAGTGGGATATAGCGAGGATTGGCGGGAGTGGGAGGGGCTAATATGAGGGGCTAATATCGGTTACACGGAAAACTGGCGGTTTTCAAAATGGGTAAGATGGGGTGCTAACATGGGTTTCTTTCTTGTCCCCTTCTCACCATCCCATAACATACGCCAGGACGCGCCCCATGAACCCACCTTTGTCCCTGCAGCTTAGCCGCCAACGCCTCGCACAGCAGCATATCCAGCACCCCATACTTGTCCCCGTCCCCTCCTCCCGCCGCCGCTGCTAGCGCCGCCGCCGCAGCTGCAGCCGCGGAAGGGCCTCCCCCTGGGCGCGGGGGTTGAAGCGGGGACTGCTGCGCGCGCTGCAGCAGCGGCGCTTGCTGCGCCTGCTGCTGCTGCTGCTGCTGCTGCTGCTGCCGCGGGCGGGGCTGCGGGGGCGTTCCGCGCGGGGCAGTGGCCTGAAACGCAACAGGCAACAGCAGACGCGCAATGAAGGGGCACGCTATAACGAGGCGGAAGGGCAGCAGGAGGCGGAAGTGTACGCTAGAAGTGGCGGGGGGAAAGCTTTTGCCAACGCGAAACGTACGCACGAGAGTTGCCCGCGCACGGAATCAAAACACACAAATAGATACGTTGCCAAAAAAAAAAAAAAAAAAAAAAAAAAACTACAAAACGTGTGCGCCAAAGGACTCGTACCAACGTGGCACGTACCTGGCCTAGCGCGCCGAGCAACTGGCTCAGAAGCGCATTTTGCCTTGGCGAATCCCCAACCGCTCCCAACCCCCCTCCACCCCCTTCTCCTCCTGCCCCTGCTCCCCCTCCACCCCCTCCCCCACCACGTCCCGCCCCTCCTCCTCCTCCGCCTCCCCCTCCTCCTGTGAGGGCCGTTACGAGCTGATCCAGCAACTGCTGCTGCTGCTGCTGCTGCTCGTCTAGCTGCATTCGCTGCGGCTGCTGCGGCGGCAACCGCTGCCCCATTTGCTGCTGCTGCCGCTGCTGCTGCTGCTGCTGCTGCCCCCGCTGCTGCTGAAGGAGCGGGTTCTGCGGGGCCGACGGCGATCGCGCCACGCCGGTTACCGCCTGCAGCTCCGCTAAGAGCTGAAGCCTCGCGACTATATCTTGCACTGACGGGGATGGCGGGGTGCTGGGAGTCCCGGGAGTCCCGGGCGCAGCCAATGCCCCCAACGCCGCGGCAATCGCCGCCGCGTTCATCCCACCGCCCCTTCCGCTTCCGCGTCCCCCCCCGCCAAGCCCGCCGAGCGCGGCGGCGAGGCTGGCTAGAGATTGCGCCTGCTGCCCCTGCTGCCCCTGCTGCCCCCCCCGCGCGACGCTGGCGATAAGCTGGTCTAAACCGGGGGAAGCCGTTCCGCCCATGGAGAAAGGGGACATGGGGGAGGTTGGCGTGCGCGCGGAAGTGTCCGCGGCGCGCAGCTGCACCTGGAGGTTCATGGAGGAGAGGGGGGAATGGGGGGAAGAAACTCCGCCAATGGCGGCATTGGAGGCGCCAGCCCCACC